TGGTGTACCAACCATCCGGCATGAGTCGCTACGAACATGGGCCCCCGCCGTCCTCGTCAGCGTACGCCTACAACCCATCCTCGTATGCGCCTTCTCATTACTCGCAACAGTCGCCTTATTACAGCGGCATGTCCGACTACGGCGCCCCTTCCGAGCATCGACAGGAGCGATCGGTTTCCAGCACGCGGGATGGGCGGGGGCGCCGCCCGTCTGTATACGGTGCGCCTGTGGTTGATTACGACTCTCCCTCAGCTGCCTTTGATGATGACGAGCCCTTGGACGCTGCCCCTCCTGCGCCGCCACCACCACCTCGGGAGCCTCGCCCCCGCCTTCCCTCTCATTCTTCCCATGATCGCGACGAGGACTACTACCGTCGGCCACCACTGAAGCACAAGAACACCCCGCATATCATCCAGAAACGCCCAGAGCCGCGCAAGGGTGTATCTGCACCATCCGTCACGTCCGGGCACTCTGCTAGGTCCTTTGACATGGCTGACATGAAGGATGCTTTGCCTGACGGCTACGGCTACCGGCGGTCCTCCCGGGAGACGGTCGTGCCGGCGCGAAGCCGCAGCTACCGGCGCCCTACAGCGTATCACGACTCTGCTAGACCCTCGCGGATTGCCGTGGAGAACTCTCGTCGCCGTCAGCCAACTATCTACGACTTCCCAGACGACGATGATGATGAAGACGACGATGACGAGGAAGAGGATGACGAGATGGATGAGAAGCATCGCGAGGCGGAGGAGTACCAAGCTACCCGCACAGTGAAAGCACCAGTGCCCCCGGCGCCACCCGTGCCCTTGACGGCAGATGCTCTCTTCAAGGCCAAGTCCTCCCAGCGCGCCGAGAGCGACAGTGGAAGCCAGAAGAGTCGCAGCAGCCGTGGGAGCGATGCCCGCACACAGAGCGGTAGCAACGCTGGATCCAAGCCAGAAGAGGACAACAACATCGTCATGACGCTAAACGGTGTCACGATGAGTTTCCCTCAGGATGGCGGAAAGAAGATCAGTGTCCGGACCGGCGAAACTGGGGCGGTCGAGCTGAACATCGAAGGCAAACAGCGGCCGAAAAAGTATTTGACCAATGGATCGGAGTACACTGGCAGCGTGGCTCATAGTCGAAGGGAAATCGAAGATGCCCGACGGGTAAGGGAAATTGAAGATTCCCGGCGGATGAGGGAGATTGAAGATGCCCGGCGGGTACGGAGTGATCGCAAGTCAGATCGTGCCAGTCGACGCTCTAGCCGATCGACCTACGGTGGTCGATACTAGTGGTGCTTGACGACCATGATAACCTCTGGGGATATCGCTCCTACCTGTCCTAGTATTTCTTCTGATCCACGTTTTGTCTCTTGCAACCTCACGCACTTCATCGGTTAGACTTTCGGAGCAAGGAGCGCTGTTTGCTAAAAGTTCTTCTTCTGTCTTTATCGGGCGATCATTATGCGGCGGACCTCTGAACCGTCACAATACCAAAATGGACGTTTAGTCCCTTCTGCCCTAGTTCTTGAAAAAGTTGGAAGGTTCGTTTTGGGAAAAAAGAGCTCTGTTTTTGCCATGGGAGGCTATTTATTGCATTGGTATGGTTTACGACTTGGTTTTTTGTCTCGGGTGTTATAAAGAGAAGAGGCGGGTTTCACCGATCACGTCCATCATGGCGACATGATTGTATGATTCTGATGACCTGCATGACCTTTGTTTATGTCTGATGTTATGTCTTATGTTTGATGTCATGTTGATGCCCCATCATGTCCTGTGTCTGGTATTCATGTTGCGATTTTCAATGTCTGGGAGCGTTTGTATTATTTCTTTCAAATGGCCCGCCTTGTTCCTTCTGCCGTATGCTCGTCACGATATGAGTAATGGCAGAGGAAGAAGGTATACCCGGTTATGTGATTCGATGTATTTCCTTCACCCCAATTCCCCTTGAGTTATTTTCTCCTCCCCGTTGCGTAGTTGGGTCTTGCCCCTTTTCATCCAGCTTGTACCTGTGTTATCTTCATGGATACCTACCTCTGTTTGACCACCTTTGATGATTCCCCTTGCTGCTGCTGTTGGTATTCTTCAACCATCTGCTGGTGACGGAGCTATGGAATGATATTATTCCTTCCTAGCGACGATGTCTCCATACCTTGTTGTGTTTTCTATGTTGTGTTTCTCCAGCTCTAGCGATTGTTTCAATACCCTTTGATGTTCACCTTGCCCATCATCCAATACCCTAGCGAAAATACAATGAAAACAAGAAAACATACCATCCATAAAGTGTACCATTCCCATACATACCGTCTTCTAGAATTCTCAATAGCAGGTATATCAATCTTGCTTTTTGAAACATAGTATACTATCTATTACCGCCATCCACATTCACAAAATACTACTATAGACACACACCCGAGCCTTCCAACCCAAATGATCCCTACCCCAACCACAAACCTCATCACAAATCATTAATCAAAGCAAGTAAGTAGTACTAAGAGTAGTACTCAGTACACTAATCCCCCTAACCAACCTTATCGATACCACTATGCAATACATACTAAGTCCTCCTCACCACCAACGCACAATACGCAAAAAGCCGATACACAGCAATAATACCAATAAGAATCCCCACCCACTTACCCGTCCTGCCCGTAGCATAGCCATATTCCTGCAGTACGCCCGTCCCGCGGATCTTACACTCGGAGGCCAAGTCCGTCTGATACATGCATTGGCAGGATTCGCCGCAAGAGTAGGTCCTATGCTGGAATTCGTTGACCATCATGCCTTGGAAGACGTATGCCTTTCATCCGCCTATTAGTATTGGGTGTTGATGGAGGGGTGCTTGGGGGAAGGGGTGGAGGTACCTGATAATCTATATAATGGAAAACGTATTTCCAAAAGGGGTTGAGAATCTTGGGGGTCACGAGGAACCCGCCGACGCTCATCCAGAGACCGTTGGCGAAGGCGACGAGGGCGAGGGAGATGACGAAGTTGGGGAAGATGGAGGTCATGAAGACGACGAGGGATTCGGCGGCTACGAGGTCGAGGAAGAGCCACATTACCCAGGTGAAGAAGGAGGTGGCGGTGGGGTTGAAGTTGGAGAGCCAGTAGGAGATTATGGAGAAGAGGAGGGAGATCAGGACTGGATTTCTTGTTAGTGAATTGGGATGGTGGGTGGATGGGGGGCATGTACAGAGGAAGGGAAGGCCGATGATAAAGTTGGAGACAATGAAGGGCAGGGCGCCGTAGAGTCCGTTGGCGCGTTCTTTGATGAAGGTCATGCGGTCTTCGATAAAGGCGGGAACGTAGGCTACTGCCATAAAGCTCATGAAGGCGGAGCCGAAGAACTGGTGGTGGTGAAGACGTTAGCTGTGTTGTCTTGATTAGTGACTTGCGAAGGGGGCTTACGATTGCGTTGATAAAGGGCTGAATGTAGCTCTGTTCGGTGTGCAGACGCAGCCAGACGGTTCCCATCATGATTGCCAGCCCTAATGGATAGGTCAGTTTCGTCTCCCCTGTAGATGGCCGATATACATACCCAGGTACATGGCGATACGGATGCCGTATGCCACAACATCACGGTAACTCTTGATGAAGGAGCGGTGCAGGAGGGTAAGAGTGATGCTGAGAATACCCGGGCGACTTAGCTCGTCCATTTCAGTTTTAGCTGCTTGTTTCTCGGATACCATGGTCCGCTGCGAGACCTGGTCTGTCAGCGCTGCGGCATTGGAGGATTCAGCCCAGCTTGTATGAATCCGCTGGACCTGATCCTTGGACATGGTTTGTGTGCTGCCTAAGAAATCGGAGCTGACAAGATCGAGGATAAACTCGGCTGGGTTGGTGTTCATTGGAAGCGAGTAGCCAATAGTGTCAAAATAGGTCGGCACATCTGTCACAGGACCTAAGTAGCACGTTTTTCCGCTCGAGAGGAGGAGCAGCTTATCGAAAAGCTGGAATGTAGTCGTGGACGGCTGGTGAATACTAGCAATTATGATGAGCTGTGAGATGTTAGCCTGGTTGGACTTCTCCGAATGAATGTTAGCGTACGTTGTTCGCAACCGCCATCTCCTTGACGTAGGAGATGACCTCAAAGCTAGCAGACGAGTCCAGTCCGCTCGTCGGTTCATCCAAAAACAGAATCTTAGGGCACGTCATGAGTTGACTTGCCACGCTGACACGCCGTTTCTGACCACCACTGATTCCCTTGCGAATGGGCGTGCCGACCAAAGTAGATGCCTGGTTCTGGATTCCAAAAGCTTGTAAAAGAGACTGAATGCGCTCCTTCCGTTGAAGCTTCGTAACGGAGCTAATTCATTAGCACTACCGCCAGTCACCACAGCATAGGAAAAGACACACCTGGGCAACGAGAGATCTGCGGCGAATTTCAGTGTCTCGCGCACCGTCAGCGACCCGATCAGCGCATCCTCCTGCTCCACGTAAGAAGTAAGTCGGCCAAACGTCGCATTATCAACAGTCTTCCCGTCTATATAGCAATCTCCAGTCGTCTTTGCTCCCGATGATGCTGCGCGACGAGCCAGAACGTTAAGTAGTGTAGTCTTGCCGCATCCCGAGGGACCCATCAGAGCGACTAGTTCGCCTATTCATTGGTAGAGTTAATCGGGTGTTCGTCCGGGATGGATACATAGAGTTCCGGGAAGTAGCCACCAACCTTGCTGAACTGACCCGCTGATTCCATCGATCAGGTTCCGGGGCTGTTTAGTATGGCGGTCCTTGACGGTGACGGTGAGATTTCGCCAGGAAAAGTCGTTGACGGTATTATTCTTAAAGAAGCTGGAACTTTCGTTGCGCTCGAGGTCAGAACCATCGAGCTTAGATGAGAGGTCATCCATTTCTTGTGGCCTCGAATCGATGGATGAGGTCCGGAGTATAGTAAGTGGTGGTCGGCGACAGCTTGGAATATGGGAATAGCTGAAGATTTCACAGTGCTACACCTCCGAGCATGACTCGAAGTCTCTGTGGTAGTCAGAACAGCAGATAGTAGTAGTATAGCTGTCAAGCAGAATGAAAACAGAAAGGATCAGAAAGAGGAGGGAAAGCCGAAGTAAATAAACGACTCACAGACCACTGCAAGAGAACCCCGGTCCGGTCACAAGGGAGGGACAGCGAGACGCAGCTAAGCTCCAGCTCATTACATCCATACTAAAAAAAAAAAAGAATGCCATGTGGGAATTTGGGTGAACTTCTCCGTGATGCTCGTGTTGCTTCGCTGCCACACTTAGGGACCCAAGATGAGAGTCTTGTTGGTTCAGGTCCCCGAAGCCCGCGCGCAGGTCGCCACATTCACCTCCAAGCCCGAGGACGCCGTCTTCGCCCGTTCGCAACGATCATAAGCTGACTGAGCCACGATGAACTAACTATCTCGATAAGTAGACTAAGTTAAACCATTAGTTTGTTGAGCGGGTGGATCGCCGTGGGGGTCCACCTGGAGAAGAAGGAATCTGAGAACGCCGTTCGTGCTGAAGCGAACGCCTTGTGGGCGGGAAAAAAGCAAGCATGGGGGAACTATTAGCGATGGACTGGAACCAGTCAGTCTCCAGACACCGATGGTCATGGTTAGTGATTGGTGGCATCTCCTCCAGACCCTGGACAGGATTCTTATCAGCTCCTGCTATTAAATGACTAGTCTTGCCAGCTGAACAGCATCCAAAGGAAAATCGTCCATCAGGCTGAAAGGACCCCTCTCTCTTTCTACGACTCGGCCAAAGTTTCCCTCCCTTCGAATTCCAGTCACTCATAATAAACTAGACCAGGTTTATCTTTTCTACCAGCAGTAGTAAATACTTAATACATCGTGAGTTACAAGGCTTTCAGCCCCGCCATGTCATCGGGGACCTGCTTATTCCCCCCTCCTCTCCTCTTCTGTGCATGTGATGAGAAAGAGATACTATCTCCCCAATAGATTTCTAAATGAGTACTAACCTACCTACCAACCTCCTCCAGTCACATCTTCCATCCCTATCTTCCAATATAAGCCCATAGATTGCATGATAGCAAACAATGTGATATGTGCCTCCCTCTCTGTACCTGGCTGGCATCACATCTTGGTGTAACGGTCGCTTGCCGATCCCCTACCCACTCCGTCTTAGTCCAAGATGCACAATGCAATTCATCCTGACTACATCACCGCTCCTTTTTTTTCCCCCATCACGCAGACGCAGGTGGAGGCTTTGTTTTGACTTTTGAGTTTGGCGGCGGAAGATTAGTGTGCGATCGGAGGCGGACGTGGCTTGAGATTGGAATGGGCTTGTCTGCTTATTGAATGGAAGAACATGTGCCTATCGATAAAGTAAAGATGTGCTAGATACGCGTCGGGAGAATAGTTTGTACTACAGCGGGTGTAAGACAGATGTGATCACAGTGAGCAGACCTGCTTGCGTGGCACTCGATGAGAGAGCCACGCCTGGTCAGTCCAGATGGAAACGCCCTCACTTTTAAATGGCGGTATATCCAAACATTAATGGGTCGGTTGTCTTCTAGATTCGCTTCCAGATACTTGATGTATTGATCACTGTACTTGGTTTGTTGATCAGTGTAAATTAGACTCGAGTCATGCATTTTTCCAATGATACACTAAAATTAAAAGCTAATACAAACACTCCCGGCGTGATGCCAGAGTCCTGAACGAGAACCTCACGCAGCCTTGCTAGGAAGGCTCAACACAGCTGGCCAGAGACCCGTTTAATCGCTGCAGGAAGCGCCCGAGGGGACGTTCTTGCACTTGCTGCTCTTCTTGCCGCCAGTCACATCAACACCGCTCCAGGTCCAGTTCGAGCAGCTGCCGGAACCGCACAGGATGTAGATGTCAGTACCAGAGCTCTTGACGCTGCCGGTGACCTTCTTGAAAGTGATGTCCTCAACCTTGACACCGTTGGTGGGCGTGCCGGTGGGGCTGCCGTTCTCGTAGTCCTGCTCAACGACAATACCGTACTTGCTGATGTCGGACAGGGTGATGTCCTCAAACTTGACGTTCTCGACAGTGCCAGTCTTGCCGTAGATGGTCTTGATGCGGACACCGTTCTGGGAGTTGAGCACCTTGGAGTTGGAGATGGTCACGTCGTTGACGGTGTTGTCACTGCGGCCACCGATGGAACCGATGGAGAGACCGTGGCCACCATCACAGTAGCCGTTGGTGAAGGTGATGTGCTGTGTTCTAGTCAGTCTCTAATCACGTGTGGCTACGGGACAGTGGCAGCGCGATGGGGCAAGACATATACATACCTCACCCGAGTTGATGGCCAGGCAGTCATCCTGGTTGTAGACGGTGGCACCGTCAATGGTGATGTAGGTACTCTGGCCAATGTCAAAGGCATCGGTGTTGTGACCCTTGCTGGTACCGGCGGAGTTGTCGATGGTCACATCGGTGATGGTCAGGTGGTCGGCCAGAATGCTGAAACCCTGGACAGGGGTGTTGTAGACCTTCAGGCCGGTGATGCTGGACTGGTCGAGCTTGTGGGCCTGGAAGAACTTGGGCTTGGTCTTGCCACCGTTGCTACCCTTGCCGTCCCACCAGCGAGCACCGTCGCAGTTGATCTTGGCACCGGAGGCCTGCTTGACGGTGATGTCGGTACCGGACATGGAGATCAGGGGACCCTTCCATTCCTTGTAGCCGAAGGTGGTCTCACCCTCGAAGATGACCTGTGAGGGAAGAGAGTTAGTTGGTCCAATCGGAGTAGGAAGAGTACTATGGGAGCTAGAGAAGACGTACGGTGGTACCCTTCTTGAGGCCAGTCAAGTCAAGAGTCTCACCAGCGGGGACCGCGATGTTGTCGAGGGTGATGGTGGAGCAAGAGGACTTGCCGGACTTGGCAGCAGAGGCGGAGGTGAAAGTGCAGGAGCGCTTCTCGAGAGGAGCAGCGGCGGCCAGCGCAGCGCCCATAGTGGCGGCCACAACGGCGTTCTGGAGGAAATGCATGATGATAATGAAGGAATGGAACCTGGATCAACCGGGTACGATTAAGGAAGGACTAGAGAGAAGCTGGGAAAGGAAAGACAAGAAAGAGAGACTGAGAGCGTGATGAGGGAATGGAAGAGAACCCATGGAGACGGATACAAAGGTTCTATAAGTAGGTTTTTCATTTGACTTGTTGTGTCCTCCACTCTTCTCCTTTTCTTGGATATTACGGCGAGACATCGGAAGTATGAGAATGGGATCAGGACCCTGGAAGTCACATCGAACGATCGAAGGGACTGGATGGAGACGGCGGTTTGAGGATGAAATGAAGTGGGATCTAGACTTGCACGGAACAGGAAGGAAGGCCAGCCAAGCTCGCTAAGCTCGAAGAAAAGACAGGGTCCGATGGATCCCAAAAGGGCAGTAGCGCCCAGTAGGGCCAGCGCGCCTTCCCCACTCGGGAACCTTTAGGCATCCGGGTTTTTGCTACTTTCGGCGCCATCCCGAGACATTCCTTTATTATGCTTTCGCTTCTTTTCTTATCGATCGCGTTATTATCGCTGATGGTAAATTCTCGGCAGTTGCGTTATTTGCCGGCTTCTTCTTCCTCGGCTGGTGAGAAAAAGAGAGCAATGAACACTTGACATATGGTTCTCGGGAACACCCTCATGATCGGCAGCATTGGCATCTCGACGATCCCTAGCCCTACTGCCCTAAAGACTCGGCCTCCCGAGGCATCCGAGGCGGATACATAGAATCTTCCAAGCCCACCAAAACGAGAATGAACCCATCTCCGTAGTTCTCACCCTGAAACAAGCGGATCACGTTGCTAGTCCACATTAACCAGGGGTTCGTTAGCTGGCAGTTTCTGCACAGGATGCAAATGCCAAGCTTCCATATTATCCTCCTTCCACCACGCGCTAGGCAACCATTCGTGGCACTAAATCTCCTCCAATATCAACCACTGGATTAATTAATTAATAATATGCCATAGGCACTGGTTGGTCGGGTTTTTTCCGGAGAAAATATTCAAAGATACCCTCCTAACAATAGATTAAATTATCTGGGATACCAATATAGCGTGTCTAGGAAGTAGGAAGATTCAATCCAAGGCAGGGGAATACTAATATCTACTTCAAAGCACCAGCGGGACTCTGTTCGGTAACTAGTGTTGCCGATCCCCGACAACATATGGGCTACCATGCTTTCACGAGTGTTTGCTGGAAGAGCAGCAGCTTCTCAGTCGAGATTCCGGGGCCACTGTTCTCCTCTAGTGTTCAAATTGCGTTCCCTTGGATAGGAAGCCATCTTGCCTGATGCTGTCATTCTCAGCCACCGACTAGTCAGTTTAAGACAACAAGATGATTTACATGACTAGTGTATCTGTTCAAACGTGTCGGGGCTCCAAGAACCTTCAAGTGTGGACCTCGAGACGAGCGATGGAATGCAAATTAGCTGGTCTGCAACGGTCAATTCATGTCCGGATGTACAGGGACCGAAAGGCAAGCTCCTTCCAGCATTCTTATTCTTATTGCAGATACCCTAACTGGCTAGCCTTCCAAGTCTTCCGCTTACAAATGCAAGCCACAATGGATCCCTTGTCGCACCATAAACTAACCGGTCAGTCGTCCGAGCTTGAGTGCTTATACCTCTACTACACACATCCAATATAGTATACGAATAGACACGACCATCGCAGTTGACAAAGGTGTGCCCAGGCAATAACACAGGGACTACAAAGCCAACTATGATTGCCGGGAAATCAGAAGCTGCAGCCCAGAGACAAAGCATTGTCTCTTGGAAGCCCTTACAACAACCGACAACTGCTGAATTAGCTTCTAGAAGATACAGAACCCCCCCATTAGACAGATTCCTACAATAACTGAGGTGCAGCAAGGAAATCGCTCCACACTACTTTACGTTTCCTTCATATGTCACGTCTGGAACCCCACTCCCCACTATCTGACACTAGGTATCTGCCGGCAAAGTTAGCCCATTCCTTCAGCTAGTATAATCAAAAGTTTGCCCCTGAAGCACACCACCATATAACCGGATGCATATCGAAGCACGCTAGACGGTTACTCACAGTGGATAGTCGGACACTTCCTCTAATCAAGGTACTAAGCGCTAGGAAGCGGAAAGCCTATGAGATTTATGAAGGCTCCATTCACCCGAGAAGCCAAGCCAACCGATGACACTTGACGTGAGCAAAACCGTATTCGATAAGTCAGACTTGGAGAATTCAGGAAAATGGTGAGCTATTGGAAACCAGTTTCATTCTGATTATCTTGGTCTCCTTACGGATTAACGGAAGTATATCACCAACGTCCGAGGAGAAACGAGCCTGTTCCGAACTGCGATTTGAGGATGTTCCGTAGGATTTCCGACGTTCAATTAAAAGGAAACATGCAGATTCGTATTTCCATGATGGGATTAGAGAAGGGCTACAAGTGCCATCAAGACAAGAGCGATAGGAAGCGTACTATGACAGCCTTTCTATATTCCAAAGGGTATCTAATTGGTAGAAATGATAAATCAAACTCTCATGCTACAAGTCATGCCTCGTCAACTCACTCGACTACGACGGTCACTTTGGTTACATAAGACCATAACCGAATAAACACATGCATAAAATTTCGACCGCTTTAACTCACAGTCCGAGCATGATCCTAATGATTCAATATAGCGAAGAGACGTAAACAATTCAAGCTCAGTGGTCAGATTTGCATTGTTCACCAAGGACATATACGTACCTGATGAGCAGTATCGTGTAGAATTGCTTTTCCTTTCTTTGACTACTAAATGGTGGTATCAAAGCCAAAGGAAAGTTCACTGGGTTGTTCTTTACTTTTCTATGCCTGAATATTATGTAGTGCGTGGGCTAACTAAACCACCATTGAGGTAACTATGCATACTACGAGATGTATTCTTACTATTAATGGATATGAATCCTCCCCAATTGCTAATATTACCATGTTATCTATTATGATTGCTGGAGACCTAGTACTACAGTTAACCAACATTATTAAGATAATCTGTGGTTCATCCGTCGGACTTTAACTTCAACCAAGATATATATACCAGTAGCCTTCAAATAACGATACTACACCTGAAAGAAGGACCCCTTCAAACAAATCAATCCACACCCTCAACTACTACCCATCTGCACAAAACGCAAAATACTACCAGTAGTAAGTTAATCAAAGTTACATCTTTTTCAAAACCCAAGTCTACTCAACTGTCTCATAAATCCCTCCATTCATTCTCAACACAAATCATATACTATAACCAAAATCCCCCAATGCGTACTAACCACGTGACCCACATGTTCAGACAATGCAGGACAGATTCTGAATAAACAATTTATTACTAACCAGAACTCTACTAAAAAGAAACCAAAATAAACTTTTTGCAGGATCCCGAGGATCTGGTACAACCTGCAATTGCAAAAAGCAAAGCCGATCACGATTGGTAAGTCCCCGAGGCCGAGAGTCCCCACTGGTACTGGTGTTGCCCGAGGACGGCGTCTACAAGTTACATACCCGCTCGGCTGGCTGCCTACCTTGCGGGGTTTATTTGAGTTTCGGTGATCGTTCATGGGATCTAGACTACGACCCCGATGTGAGATTCGGACGAAAGTGATGTATTGTGTCGATCACTTCGGGGTTCATGGGGCGGAGTATTATTGCGGCTTAAAGATACTACTTTCATAACTGATCCTACGGTGTGATTGAGAGTCTCTTGAACGTGATGTAAACGCTAAAAAAAATGCTTGGTATTTTGTCACACTAAATGTATATCTTTTATGGTCGCTTCCATTACATACTATAGATGATTCATTAGTATTGTGCATATTAGGCGTGGGAATCGGGGCTAAACGTACCGGTTGACAGGGCTGAGACCCAGGATGCGCATACCGTTGTGCAGCACCTGGCGGGCGGACTCGTACAGAGCCATACGGGCCTTCTTGAGCTCAGGCTCGCTACCAACAACCTTGAGCACATCGTAGCTGGAGCTAAGCACGTGGGTCATGCGGAACAGGTAGGTGAGGATAGTAGTGGGCTCCAGGGTGCGGGTCGTGTTGAGCAGCACATCGGGCCACTGGGCGAGCAGACGAGCAAGGTCGGTAGCGTGGGTCTCGGTCAGGAGGCTCAGGTTGGCCGTGTCGAGCTCGTCGACGTTCAGGCCGGACTTGCGCACAATGGAGCAGAGACGGGCGTGAGCGTATTGCAGGTAAGGACCGGTGTCACCCTCGAAAGAGGTCATGGCATCCAGGTTGAAGTCATAGCCGTTGATACTGTGTTTCGTTAGCAAATTGAGAGGCTATCATGGGGCAAAGGGATGTACGTACCGCTTTCCGGTCATGTCCTGAACCATGACGGAGGACATACCCAGGATGTCAGCAGTGCCCTCAGGGTCGGCGACCTGCTCGTACTTCTCGGTGTTCTTCTTCATGACTTCGTGCATCTTGTCACGGACATCCTGGAGGATGTCGTCCAAGAACTTGACAGTACCCTTACGGGTGCTCATACCGCGCACCATACCGAAGTTGATGTGCTGGCAGCGGCTGGCCAGATCCTTGTAGCCCATGAGTTCAGTGATCTTGAACAGCTGAGCCAAGTGGAGGTCCTGCTGAGCGGCAACGACGTAGATCATCTTGTCAAACTTGTAGGCCTCCTCACGCTCGAGGATGGCACCAATATCACGGGTCAGGTAGAGAGGAGTGCCGTCCTTGCGGACAATGATGGCCTTTCCAAGCTTCTTGGCGCCGTGCTTGGTGAAGTCGACGATGACAGCACCTTCGGACTTCTCGGACACGCCGACCTTCTCCATGGTCTCGTAAGCGGAGGTCATGCTCTCCTGCTTGATCTGAGACTCTCCAGAGTAGACGTCAAAGTCAATGTTCAAACGAGCATAGGTCTGTCTGTACTTCTCGATACTGAGCTCACGGAACCGGCGCCAGAGAGCAAGAGCCTCCTGGTTACCATCCTCCATGCTCTTGAAGTAACGGCGGGCGTTCTCGTCCTCACTGGCATCAACAAGCTTGGCAAGCTCCTTCTCTTGCTCGGCGGCGTCCTCGCCCTTCTCCTTCTTGGCCTTGATCTGCTCCTTGAGCTCCTTGATGGGGCCCTCCTGCTCGGAGACAATGCCGTTGATCTTGACGTAGACGTTGAACAGGTGGTTGATGGGGTCCTTGGTCAGCTCCTCCTCGCTACCGAACATCTTGAAACCATTGGCAAGCAGACCGTACTGCTTACCCCAATCACCAAGGTAGTTCATCTTGATGACGTCCCATCCCATGACCGTGTAGAGGTTGGCAAGGAAACCACCGATGATGGTACTGCGCAGGTGACCAGCATGGAAGGGCTTGGCGATGTTGGGAGACGAGAACTCGACGATGATCCGCTTGCGACCCTTGGAGGGGTCAGCGGGGTCGCGCAGACCAACGTTGCCATTGGTACCAAAGGCAGACTTCTCCTTCAAGATACGGCTAACGACGTTGGTGGTGAGACGTTCCGGCCGGAAGAAGAACTGCATGTGAGGACCGAAGGCAACGGGGGGGAGGATGAGGTCGGACTCGGGGAACTTCTCGACGAGTTCCTTGCACAGCTCCTGGGGGTTCTTCTTGATCTGAAGAGAGGGGACCTAGAGATAACATGCTCCATTAGTCGGTGTCATGTGGCCCAACAAAATCCAATCCAATTGTGTTTTTATGATGGTCGCGTACCGGCAACACCAGGTCACCCTTGTCCAACGAGTTCGTCCATGCGATACGGGAGAAGATCTTCTCCGCGTCCAGACCGGTGATCTTGGCAAGCTCCTCCGCAATGTGCTCTCTGTAAACGTCGACGGGGTTCAGGGAGGGGAAGCAGTTGGGGAACTTGGAGGTCTCGGAGGTCGACTGGATGGAGAGTCCCTCGACGGAGACAGCGAGGTCGTAAGCGGACGTCATGGCGGCAGCTTTGTTCTTCAAAAGCGACGCGGAGGAAAAAGACGAGCGCCAGGGATTTAAATGAGCAGAAGAAAAAGCACCGCGGGCGCAGGAGCAGCGACTATTTTGTGTGTAGTATGAGCGGACAGACTGGAAAATGCCGCTGGAAAATCGGCGTGCCCCGCTTACCAGATGGCGACCCATAAATGGAGGGGAATCGAGAGCCTCGCTTTGGAGGGGGGGACTTTTTTCTTTGCTCTGAGCCTCCATTCGGCAATCGCCCATACTGCCCGGGCGGTGAGCTCTGCCCTCATGACTCATCGGAGAGAGTCACGTGAAATATAGTCATCTGACTGCTGAAACCCTCATGTCATGTGAGCGGATATGAGACCACCCCCTTCTCTGACGTCACGGTTCTCTGCAGCGCCAGCAACGCAACCTCGTGTCCCAAACCTGGCAATTACTTCTCTCAACTTCATATTAACCCCCCAAACAGCCATGCACTATCATCACCGATATATCCTGCCCTCAGTCATTCATATCCACCGCGATCATGGGTAGTAGTCGTCGTCAGGCAGCCCTATCCAAGTCTATCCAACTCGCTCTATTCCGCGACCCAGCAACCTTCCGCAAAACCCTCATCGGGCGCATCCTAGCCTTCTTCCGTATCTTCTACATTAAGCTTTTCCGATATGGAAGTCATCTTTTCCGGAAGCTGCGCAGCGAAACATGGGAGATTGACGAAAATGAGTACAAGGCGAGCTTCCGGGATGAGAAGAAAACTGTCCCGTTGAAACCAATGGGCGATCTTGGATTGTCGGGATCGGTATGAACACCACGAAAGGCCATTGGAATGTTTGTGTACTGATTGACTGCTCTGATAGACCTTCTTCCAGACCTCCAATGGCAAATTTCTTGTCAAAAGTCTCCCCCGACACTTTGAACATTCCTTTTTCCGCGAGGATCTGCTCGAGCCTTACTACGAATATATGAGCGCTCATCGCGATTCCTTATTGGTATGGATTACCGACTATGTGTATGCGCCGTATCCGACCCTCGGGAGCCTTATAGGGTCCACGCCAGCCCATCACATCATCATGGACAATATCTTGTACGGGAAAACCGAGGATCCGAACGCAGATCAATGGGAGAAATACGACCTCAAGCCGATAGACTATTTCTATCCAGAGCGGGACCTGGTACCTGATCCGCTGGTCAGCGAAGATACGCTGCGAAAGATTGCCGATCAATTTGACGACAAGATCCGGCTTTCGCAAGAACAATACGAGTCCCTGAAGCGAGTCCTGGAAGCTGACACGGACTTTCTCCGGTCGTCCAATGCAGTTGATTACTCTCTTTTCCTCGTACGGTTTCCGGCCTCCTCGCAGCCCGAGGTTGTTGGCAGGCACACTCCATGGCGCATCGGCTTAGAGTCTGCAGATGGGAAGTGGAAGTACCGTGCAGTGTTGTTGGATTTCTTCTGGGCAAGACACAAATTGCATGCCCAGGCCATGACGGGGGTGATTCAGACATTCAATGTCATTGGTCGCCAGGGGCCCATGACAATTACAACGACGGCCGACGAATACCAACAGAAGTTCCTGGCTATGGTGGATTCGATGGTGGAAGTACAGCAGTCTTAATAGACGTAATCATACAATACCTAAAGATGTTGTCTGACGCACGGCGCTCTGCGATTAATATCAAGTGACATGTATGTTGTATCCGAAATGGTAATTATTGGTCTTCTCGCATTGACTCATGACACCGTTTATCAAGCACCCAGATGACCAACGGTCGGCCCGTAACGGGCTTTTCTATCGACAATCTATCAATTACCGGAATCTGTCCTGCAGAGACAGTCTATGTCGTCCGCGCATTTCGCTCAAAGAAGTCATCTCTCATTGCTGCTTTAAAAGCAGAAGACCTGGTCCTCGAGCTTGCTGACGGGACGAGCCTTGGTGTATCCGAGAGACTCGGTGGCCTTCTTCATGGCGCTAACCATGGGAGGAGGACCGCAGAGCAGAACCTTGATGTCGCTAGAGGGAGCAGGGAGGCGCTCCTAGAGAAATCGGTTAGTGGGCAATGCAGGAAGACAGACGCTGAGGATTTGACATACCTTGATCATGTCAGGGGTGACGAAACCGACACCACCAGTCCAGCCCTCAGGAGGGTTGTTGAGGACGTAGTAGATGCGGAAGCCGTCGTCCTCCTTGGCCAGCTGCTCAAGCTCATCCTTCATGAGGATATCGTCGGGGTTCACGTTGGCGAAGATCAGGTCGACCTGGGTGGTGTCGTTTCCACCGTTACGGGGACGGTTGCGAATGATAGCCTTGATGATCTGGTACATGGGGGTGATACCAGTACCACCGGCGATCATACCAATGTGACGGCACATGTTGGGAGTGTACACCATGGCGCCCTTGGGGCCACGGACCTTCATGGTCTGACCAACCTCCAGGGTAGTCAAGTACTTGGAGATGTTACCCTGGGGGTAGGCCTTGACAAGGAGATCGAAGTAGCCAGCCTCATTGTCCGAGGAGATGGGGGTGTAGGAGCGGACAACCTCCTTACCGCCAATGGTGGCGGCAAGCGAGATGTGCTGACCGATGGGGAGACCCAGGATATCGGTGGGACGGGGCAAGGCGAAACGGTAGACAGTGACATTGTGAGAGATGTCGTTCTTCTCCTTCAAGGTGAAGTGCTGGAAATCACCGGGGTTGAGGACCTTTCTGGGCTCTAGAGAGAATTGTTGAGACTTGTCAGAAGACCGCAAACAAAGTCATACGATCAGCGTTCCTGTACGTACTGTTGCTGAAAACCTTCCAGCCCACAAGCACCGCAGCCAGAGCAACGGCAAAGGGGGTCAATTCCTGCTTGAAGAAGAAAGTTCCGGCGACAAACAGGGCCGAGGGGATGAAGGCCCCGGTGATGTTCTCGGGGGAGAAAGCACTGTTTTGCGACAACGTTTTTGTTAGCCACCCATCAGTCACGGAGCGAGTAGCACGCGCACATACCTCATATTGGCAATTCCTCCGGTAACCCCTAGGATATTAGAAAAGAATAGGAAACAAATAATAAAAAAAGGGGAGGAGGGTGAAGGGGAGAAAGGGGAAGAGGAGGGAGAGTTGAGTATTGAAAGAGAGAATGTGAGGAGATGAGGAGAGTGTCGGGGTTTTGTGACGGTAATTTTCGGTGTCGGTCACGGGAAGACAGTCCCGATCGGGCCACTGGATCGGCTTATCGATAAGTTTGTTGAGGCAAATCAATTGATTATCGGTGAAGATAATAAATTAAGAGTATGAAATGCTGCCATGGATGAATGAGTTGATCAGAATATGACCAGAGAATAATCAACCAACAACATGACAAGATTAATAGCACCTCCGATGTGCGGAGAAACCGCCCCGGTCAGCATGTGAACAGCCAACTCATTCAGTGCGCGGAATCAGTCCCGTTGGGGATTTGCTTTCCTGGGGTAAGCATTCCCGTCTTCGTTCACGGTTCCCTCGCTGCTTCTTTTTTTCCTATCTCGACAAATAATTCCGTCCTACTTGCTAGCTTTCGACTGATCCTTCCTAGCGGACCCCATCGACTGTCCGCTAGTCTAGTCATCTCCCTTCCACAGTCTCATAGACCCTTCTAAAACGGCCGACAAAAAGCCATGACTCCCGAGGAACCTCCGGCCTTCAATTTGACCGAGGTCGATCGTCAAGTCCTCGCGCAGACCGACGAGGAGTTCGTGCTTCATGACTGGGAGGATCTCAAGTCCATCATCGGTAGGTGATTTACGCATAACAGAAGTTCCCTTGAATGATTATACATACAGTAAAGTGAGCTAAAGGGAGAGGAAGAGAGAAAAAGAGAACTACTACTACCACTACTCTCTCTCTACCCCTCACATGCTCGCCTTCCCCCCGCGTCCCTACCCTTCATCCATCCATCCATTCATTCCTCGAATCCATCTCGATCATTCCGTCCATCTACCCACCCATCAACCAATATCTGATGGTTCCGCATTCCAGTCCCTGACTTTAAACTCTCTTTCCCCCATAACTCGCTATACCCCCTTTTACCCCGCAACCCATCCTCACGACTCCCAACCTAACTTCCTCCGTACTAACCCGATCACCCAAACCTTCCAGCACGCAACGATCTCGGCATCCTAAAACGGAAACCCTCCGATCTAACCCGCTACCTGGCCTGGTCTCATCAAACCAAGCAACAGTACGGCACTATCACAAACTACATCTGCCAGAAGCGTCTAGGCTGGACTATTCCCTCTTCTTCCCCTTCCTCATCATCCACCACCACTCCATCCACATCCACCCCAACTTCCTCCATCACCACTTCCACAGAAACCACCATCTTCCCCTACAAGAACCCCATCCCCTTCGCAGACCCATCCGATTACAAGATCCTGCGCAACGACTGGCCCTACGGTCTCGCGCCCGGAATCTCGCACATTGTAGTGTGGTTGCGGACTCCCGTGGCAGTCAAGGAAGAAAACGGGGACGTGACGGATGAGTCGCGGGCGTTGATAGAGGCGTTTGTGCAGCGGACGTTTGTGGATGCGGTGGTGCGGGAAGAAGGGGTGAGTGAGGCGGAGGCGAGGGATCGGGTGCTGTGGTTTAAGAATTGGGCGGCTTTGCAGAGTGTGAGGAGTTTGGAACATGTTCATGTTCTGGTTAGGGATGTGTCAGAGAGATTGTTGACTGAGTGGACCGGGGAGGAGGGGGTGAAGCGTTAACTATACAGTTGGTGTGAGATATGATGTGAAGGACGGGGACTGTTGAGATACAGTTAGATGAGTGGAGGAAGACGTCATTTATGGTATAGATCAAAGACAGACGCCATTGGATAAAACGCCAATAGAACTTGAAAAGAAAAAGAACATAAGATTGGGAATCTCGAATCAATCGAAAAAAAAGTATCTCGACCGGACCTGAAAGATCTGTAGCGTACAGAATAAACTAAGAAAGCTACACAATCACCATCCATCGTGCGCTTGTCTCATACAACATCAGAAGAAAAGTAGATAAAAACAGATAAGAAGCCCATCCATCATATACGCCTGCAATCCAACATCCCAGGTCATCATTAAAGCAGCGCATCAGCTCGACTACGACTTCTGCTCCTCCACGAACTTCAGTGCTTCTTCTCTCGACACAACGTCGATCGTACTGGCCTTCTGCCGGAAGCTGACGCCGTAGCACTTTTCGGCCACGTGCAACATCTCGGGTCGGAAAGTAGTGCAGATGAATTGGCCGTTGGTCGAGTCGGAAATGGACTTCAGCATTTGCGCAACGGCGGTTCGGTACTGGGCGTCGAGGTTGGCGTCGATCTCGTCGAACAGGTAGAAGGGGGCGGGATCGCAGGCTTGAATGGCGAAGACTAATGCCAGGGCGCAAAGACCTAGGGGTGGGTTAGTATGAAGATTGAGGAAAGTGTTACTAAGACAAGGGGTTACACTCACTCTTTTGTCCACCACTGAGCTGCTGGATACGCTGTTGTTCATCATGCTTGCTGTTAAAGCTGACGCTGATACCAACTCCAACGTAGTTCTCGACGCTCTCGCGGGCCTCCTCGTCCTCGGAGTCGACTTCGTCGGGTTGCCGAAGGGCGCGGTCGGTCTTACGCTGGATGATCAGACGTCCACGGCCAGCGGGGACGAGCTTCTCGAAGACATTGGCAAACTCGCGGGAGACCTGCTTGAAGGTTCGTTCGATGGCCTCGTCCTTCCGTTGGTCAAGCACGTTGATGAGGTCGTCGATAGATTTCTCGGAAGCTTCGAGTTCTTCTCTCCGGCTTGTCAGCGCCTCTCGCTGCTTGGTGAAGTTGTTGTATTGCTCGAACGCCTTCTTGTTGACATGAGAGTATTTCTTGAGACTCTCGTTGACCTTGTGGAGCTTCTTGACTACGGCGTTGGAATCTGTGTTCTTATACTTGGTAAAAGCCTCGTCTGGCAGGACTCCCAGGTCACGGATATTAGAAGCGCACTCAGCCGCTTGCTTCGTCAAGGCAGCCTTCTTCTGCATGCTCTTTTCCATGCGCCGCTGGTGCTTCTCGATAGATTTGGCCAATTCTTCCAGCTCTCGCCGTGTCTCGGCATTCCTCTGTTGCAGGTCGCCCACGCGAGCGTTGGCCTGATCGATGGACTCGTCAACCTGCTGGAGACGCTGGCCAAGTTTCTCCAGGGCCTTGTGAAGGCGCTTCATTTCTCTCTGTGTCTCCTTCAGATTTCCTTGGCTATCGTCCGCTAAGTCCATGTCCTGGCCGACAAGCTGGTCCAGGCGCGGGTTGAGGTTCTCCCGCAACTCAACCTCGAGGATGGATTTCCTTCCTTCCAGCTCACTGCGCTGGCTGGAAAGCTCCTGGTACTGCCGCCGGAGCTCCTGAGCTGTGTTGTTGAGCTCCTCTAGGCGCGCTTCTTCTTCATTGCTGAGCGCTTTCTGGAAGGGCGAGGACAATTCCGCCTCAAATGCGCCAACTTGGTCAGTGACCGCTGCCAGGTTGCCTTCGATGTTGCGAAGCGCCCGTCGTTTCGCATCAAGGTTGTCATTCTTCTTCTGCAGAAGGTCGCGCTTGGCCCGTAGTTCTTGCCGCATAGGTCCACTGCTGTTTTGCACCTGGTGTCTCTGTTGTTCCAACTTCTGCAGCTCACCAACCGATCTTGTGATGAGTTGGTCCAGCTGCTCGAGCTCCTTTCTGATCTCTGATCCACGGTTCTTCTTCGTCTCATACTCGTCCCTCCACTTGGCCAGGTTCTTCACGGCATCAAGGCGTGACTGCCGCGAATCGTGGAAACCACCAGTAAGAGCACCTCTCTTATCCGAACGATCTCCCTCCGGTGTGATCGCATTGACACCGTGACTGCGGGCATATTGAGAAGCGACTTGAAGGTTCGGGCAGATGATGGTTTTTCCAAACACGTGAACAAAAGCCTTCTCATACTTTGAGTCGTACTGAAGCTTCTCGATCATGGGAATAGTGTCACTTGCCCTGGGCATGTTGATAGGTCTAGATCGTAGTCTGTTCAATGGCATAAACGTAACTCTACCAGCCTTCTCTTGCTGGAGGATCTCGAGCACCTTTGTAGCGGTTTCATCGGTGTCGACGACATAGTGGAACAGACTCTGGCCCGCTGTGACTTCGACAGAGGTCCGGTACCTATCACTGACCTCGAACAGCTCCGCCAAAGTGCCATACACTCCTTCGAGGTTGTACTGGCGCTTAATTCTCCGGACAGCAGCAATGCCACGGCTCGTATTGTGGTCCATCATCTGGGACAAATTTCGCTCGGCACGCTCCACTTCGTGGGAGGCATTAGACAAGATCGAATCCAGTTTCGCTTCTTCTCTCCACAATTCCCTAGTACATCGTCAGCTCATCACACTCATCCAAAAACAAACGGTTACAAAACCATGAAATACATACTTTCTCTGATCCATCAGCCGGTCTCTCTCATCCTTCGCAGATTGAACTTGTTGTTCGACGGAGTGGATCGTGTCGCCTCTGCCATCAATCTGCTTGCGCAAGAGCTCGCTCTCTGGCTCCAGGAGTGCTATGTCATTTTCGAGTTCCTTGATATCTTCTTGGGTCTGTGCCAATACACCCTGGACAGAAGTGATAGAAGCGTAGTTATCCTTGATCGCCGCTTGCAGCCACTTGTCGCGCTCACTCTTGTTGCGGAAGCGAGAGTTACGACCTTGCTTGGCGTATAGTCGCTGGCGGGCAGTCTCTGCCTCGGTAAGCTGCGTCTTTACAGTATCCTCCTGATCCTTGGCGGCGTTGAACTGAGGCATCAGTTGCTGCAGCTCTTGCTCACGTTCCTGGATAGCACTCTGAACAGCCTTCAGGTCTTCGTCGCGGCGTAGTTTCGAGGCTTGAGCGGCAACTTGGTTGTCCGATAGTGATTTTGCTTGCAATTCCACCTGCGCAAGGGCCTTGGAGGCCTCACGACGCTCATCCTCCAGCTGTGCCTTGTCTACCTTCAGGAACTCAATCTGCTGCTTGCATTCGGCAATTTCAGCATCGATCTGGGCCATTTCCTTCTCCCCTTGGATGAAACGGTCACGGTTGAGATCGGTATCCTCGACGCCGGTTTGACGCTGTTCTTCAAGACTGTCCAAGAAACTGGAGATTTCTTGCTGTTCGCGAGAGTAGATCGTATATTCCAAGCATCTGCGCTCCTTGTCCTTATCTTGGTAGTTTCGTAACTCGTCCTTTTCTTCTTCCAGCTCCGCAAGGCGCTCGTTGATGAATTCCAGTAGCTCGTCAATCTTGGATCGCTTGTTGTTCGTCTCGTGCATGATCTTCAACGATTCTGCACGGCGCGCTTCATATACCTGCGTTCCCGCAACTTCCTTCAACAAATTGAGACGTTCGGAATCCTTCATGTTAGTCAAAGCGGTGACACGACCCTGAGGCACGATGTAGTAGGGGTTTGAACGGGAAAACCCGGCGGATTCGAGCAAGTTCATCACATCGGACTTCGTCGCATTCTTGCGGTCAAGCGTGTATTCATCCTTCTTCAGTCCGATGGTGCGGCGAAGGACCACTTCCGGTTTGCCAGTGGGAAACCGGTCGTCAGAGTTGTCAAAGATGATCTCGACGTAAGCCGACATCACAGCGGATCCCGAACCTTCCTATTCTTTTGTAAGCCTCTCAGAGTGTTGATTCTTGCGACGAGATACGCACGTGAAGAAGGGCCTGGCGTTCCTCTCGGCCCAGGTGGGTGTAAGCATCGCTGAGGACGAAACGAATGGCCGCAAAGAAGTTACTCTTTCCGGAGCCATTACGACCAACGATGACATTGTGCTTCGGGGAGAATGGCTCGATGACCGTCTGGTCCTTGTAGCTGTAAGGCGATTGCAGTTAGCCTGAAGGCGCACTGGATTGCCATTGGTACACTGCTGCAACATACCTTTTAAAGCCTTGGATGATAATCTGTTTAACGTACATCTTGACGAAGCACGCGCGACACGAGGGATCAGGGCAATTACAACAACCCAGTCATCACGCGCCCGAGGCGAAAGAGATCAGGAGCCTAGGCCCTGACTGGACGAAGCAGGGCGGCGATGTGAAGGGACGACGCACAGAGGTTGCTGGGGTCGATGCTTGACATGCGACGAAGCTGACTTTGGGGGGAGCCACGCGTTATCGAGGCGATCAGCTCCGGATCTTTTGCACGCGTTTACTTCCATTTGGGAAGCCCGCGGGGTTCTGCCGGGCGGTGAGTCCACTGCCTGTCCCACACCCAAAAGGTACCCGTTTTTTTCAGATCAATTGCAAGACCTCGCTTCTACACACATCTGGTTTTCAACCCTTTACATTCAGTCATGGCTGCTTCGAATGCTGACGCGCAAGCGTCCGGCTTGGCTGATGGCCTGAACCCAGCGCATACCTACATTCCCAACCAGGGCTATGTCAACCCAGACGGCTCCCTCCCCGCTATGGCGGGGCAAGACTCTGCGGCGCAACAAAATGAAGACGAAGAGGATGACTACTATGATGATATCTTCGAAGAAGAACTCGATGAAGAAGACTTCACCTCGTCGAATCCCGCCGACCTAACGAAATCCTACAATCGCCAGCGCAAAACGAACGAGCTCTCTGCGGACCCGAATACTCCCAAGTGGACTTTACCGAAGACGAACACCCAGAAACCGTCCGTCAACACTCGCGCCTCTGTGGACGATCAAGTGAAGTCATTGACGAAGCATGCCGGCAAGATCAAGTTGGACGATATGCAATCAGGCATGGCGACCCGCGGTGATCGGGGTGGTGACAGGGCGGACCGCGCTACCTCCGAACAGGTGCTGGATCCCCGCACCCGTATGATTCTGCTACAGATGATCAACCGGGAGATTGTCTCCGAGATTCACGGCTGTCTGTCGACCGGTAAAGAAGCCAACGTTTACTACTCTATCTCATACCCCGATAACGAGGAGACGCCCCTCCACCGCGCCATCAAGGTCTACAAGACAAGCATTCTCGTCTTCAAGGACAGAGACAAGTATGTCACTGGTGAATTCCGTTTCAGACAAGGATACAGCAAGAGCAACAACCGGGCAATGGTCAAGCTGTGGGCGGAGAAGGAAATGCGTAACCTGCGCCGTATCTACGCCGCCGGCATCCCCTGCCCCGAACCCATCCACCTGCGCCTCCACGTCCTGGTCATGGGCTTCGTCGGAAACTCCAAGGGTATCGCCGCTCCCAGACTCAAGGACGTTGAGTTCAACATCCCCGACCCCGATGCCAAATGGCGCGAGATCTACATGGAGTTGCTTGGCTACATGCGCGTGATGTACCAGACCTGCCACCTGGTCCACGCCGATCTGAGTGAATACAACATGCTCTACCACAAGAACAAGCTCCACATCATCGATGTCAGTCAGAGTGTTGAGCACGACCACCCCCGCAGTTTGGAATTCCTGCGTATGGATATCAAGAACATCAGCGACTTCTTCCGCCGCAAGAACGTTGACGTCCTCACCGAACGGGCCGTCTTCGAATTCGTTATCTCAAGCGATGGCCCTACCACTGCCACGCCCGCAGAGCCAATGCTTGAGGCCATCGAGCACCTGTTTGCCACCCGCAACAACAACACCGAAGGCGAGACAGAAGTCGACACTGCCGTCTTCCGCCAACAATACATCCCTCAAACCCTGGAACAGGTGTATGACTTCGAGCGCGACGCCGAGCAAGTCCGCGCCGGTAAGGGTGACGACCTCGTTTACCGGGACCTTCTCGCAGGCGAGAAGAAGAAGAAGGCAGAAGACCACGAGGAGGAGGGCGATGAGGAAGAAGGTTCCGAAGCCGGCTCTGACGGCGGCGTATCCGTCGACGAGGGATCCGACTCGGAAGATGGAGAAAAAGACCCGTTCGCGAAGAAAGCGCCCCGCGGTAAGCGGTTCGAAGATAAGGACGAGAAGCGCGACCACAAGCAAAAGGTCAAGGAGGAGAAGCGCGAGAAGCGCGCAAATAAGATGCCGAAGCATATGAAGAAACGTCTTGTTTCTTCGTCTTCGAGAAAGAAGAAATGAGGGAGTGAAGTTGAGTTAAACACTTGTTTCTCTTTTCTGATATGCATGCAGGCATTTTTGGGTGATAATTGGGCTACTATGGGAAAAACACAAAAGTCGTTCTTTGGATTATTTTGTTTGGAATGCACATGATCTCATGATGTTTTATGACCTTTCATTGGGTGGGTTATGGTTCGTTGGATGCATATATATATTAAGTTCCAGTTTATACTATGAGCATATAGATCTGCATATGGAGGTGTGGGAAATGCGAATTCGATACGTCGGGTTGATTGCAACATGCGTAGTAGCTAGGAACTTCTGCTAAGTTGTAGTAATCGCATGTCAGTAGTTAAGAAGTAGTGCTACTAGTGATATCATCATGCCAGTTCCATCAACGGCTGAAAAAGGTCTACTATTAGTACTAAGTACCGTTCAGTATGAATTGAAGTTTTCATAACGGACGTCTGAAAGTCGGTTGGATGCTACTGCTAACACTAGTAGTATTGCCCATCTCCGGAAATATATAACCGGACTTCGATAATCGTTCTATAACAGTCATGAGTTGCCTACAAACATTACATTACTATATAGCCTTGACATACACTATTTAGTAGTTATGATAAGTCAGTGATTGCATATAGTTGGCTACAATTATTTATTATCGTACTGCAACTGTATCGCAACGGGTGATACTGACCCCCTGGGACACTATGGTCAGTAGGGGACTGATGTTCGGCGGCAGCATAAGTTCATACTAAGTAGAATGCCCATTCTTAAAACTACTTGTTTGCTATATCCTGAAACAGAAGCATGATCGATGACGACTAGATATTTGATCATTTATATGAAAGATTGGACGACCTATCAGAGCTCTCTTTGATCCTCATTCCAGTCCATTACCAACTGCCACGATGGACAACTCTATAAGCACTTACATCCTTAGCGAGTCAGGAAGATACGCTGGAGTATGTGTCTCACGGATAGTTAATCCACCTGACATGGCAAAAGAGGCATGGCCGGTATCGGATAGGACGAATCCTGAATGTGTTTCATCATCTAGGTCATCTACTATTTTTCATACTGCCAAGAAAAGCCCCTTTGACACTGCCAAGCGGCAACCACGGGGTTGACGAGCTCTCTGAAATACCAGAGCACTACATGGCTTGTCTATTCCTCGCCTTGAGGCGATGGAGGGCCTCTTCAACCAGCGATTTCGGTAAATGTGGGATAATTTCCCCTTCCTCCGTCGTTTCAGAGGGCCCTGACTGGGGTTCATTGGGTTCAGCGGCCGGCTGGTCTTGTGCATCCGGCTGTTCGGGAGGCGCTCCCTTGAGAATACCGCCGGATATGCGTCGAAATTCTATTCGCATCGGCTCGCGGCCGATACCAGGCCAAATGTCGGATGGCAAATAGTCCCCTTGCTCGACTCGGAACGTTTCGCGAGCATTGACATCCTCTTCGTACAGCTGATCCAATTTGTGTTTCGTTTCACGAAGGACCTTTTCCACACGCTGTCGTACGTGCCGTCGGCGTGCCACTTCGAGGATCAAGCCATCATAGGCTTCTAAAAACCCGTCGTAAAGGGTATTAAGATCCGACAAGTCCGCTAGCCCACCGTTAATACGATCGTGCTCTTCGCCCCACACACGAGTGAAGCTGTGTGCCTGAGCAATATAACCCGGTAGACGCGCAGTTGCAAGAGATGAAAGGTGTCGGAAGACGCCAATAGTGGCATTGTAGATGGAGAGAAGAACATCACGTTGAGACAAAATGTTCTCAAGAATTGATTCCATATCGCCGATACGATCTTGGATTTCCATGACCACGTCTTCGGCCTCTGCTGCATCCTTGATCAAAACATTCACCATCTCTTGGTAGTCAGACTCACTCAAGGGATCAAGTGGGGCGTTTAGGTTGTCATGAATGCCTTGCTCGATATTCGGTACTCCACGGCCACTGACAGTGACGGCAGCGGGCATATCCCCAGTAATAGATCGCGCGGCAGCTCCACCGCCTTCCGTATGCTTGACAGCAGTTACACAAAGATCAAAGTGCTGGACCAAGGACTCTAGCAGATTGGCCATTTCCTGCGCATGCATCTCCAATGACTGTAACATGGGTGGCATTGATGACAATGACGGCAGGCTTGAATTAGACGCGGATGAAGAAGAGGAGGATGAGGAAGCTAACTTGGTAGCTTCTCGGTAATTACCCAGAGCTTGCTTGATGGACTGGAGCTCATCATCGAACGCGGAATTGGATGTATCCAGTTCCGCCTGCGCCTCATTGGTACGATCAATTGAGCTCTTCAAAGCTGCACGAAGCTCCTCAACTCCACGTTCATCCACAAAGTCATGTAAGCTTCTGGGTTCTTCGCCCTCGGGACGAAATGAAGCGTGAACAATTGTATCCCGTAAGGAGTCGAGGGTCTTCCTCAGTCGGGCATCGGCAGTGTCTAGACTTTTCAAAACACTGGCGAACTCCGACCGGCCCCTGAGTGAAACTTCCTCGACCTCAGAGCGTACACTGTAAAGGAGCCGTAGTTGATTGTTAAGCCCGCGTCGGAGAAAGCCAGTCCGTGCGGAAATCACGACACTTTCTTCCAATGCAGAGCGAGCGGAAGTTACAATTTCATTCGCACGCCACACGTGATTGATGGATGACAGAGACCGTTTTGCTGCCACCAGGTGAGAAATGAGAGAATCTAACTGAGGCAGGGCGTTGCCCTGGTCTCCTGCTGGCGAACCGGGGCCAGACGCATCACTGCCGGCCGATAATGACGCCGATGCTGACATTCTGAAAAAGGGGTCGGCGTAATTGGCGCTGATTGGAAATTATAATGAAAGGAGGAATGCTGGCGTGATAGCCTGACAGAATGGCCCAATAATGCCCGATAAAGCAGAAGAGTGTAGTGGTTCAGGGCAGTGCCGTTCAACGGCCGGAAGGAGTAAGTTTCGGGGCAACGTTACAGTAGCTATGTCGTAAGAAGTCATAAATCTAGTGCACAATCACCTCATGGGCTTGTAACAATTATGGAATCAGAAAATTATCAGGTCCTTGATTTCGTCAGTTCTGAGTTTCATGTGCGATCGACGAGGGCCTGCTGGAAAAAGAAGGATCTGGCGGTGAGTTTGCAGATGACTGGTCAACAAGACCTAGTAAGGTAACACCTGTGTAAGTCTCCGTCGACCGTGCTTCCTGTCGTACCGCCTGCAGTAGCAAACAAGGAAGCCTGCAGAAGAAGCAGGATGGAAGGCAAGAGGGGGGGTATCGTGCCCCAGGACTGGTCTGAGGAGCTGGTGGTTGATACCCAACGCTTCGTCAGTGAGAAGTGTGAGATTGATTGAGCTATGGGAGTAATGCTATTCCAGGAATTCGACGCTATGATAGGACCCAAAATACCTGAGCGGAGCAATTGCGCCTCGCAGCAGGGGTCAGAAAGACCAAGGCCTGAAAATGCGGGATTGGAAAGGGAGGTGACGATAGAGGACGGGATGGACGGAGTTCAGGCAGGCGACCTTAGCGTCTCGGAGAGCCCATGGGAGTTCGGCTCGAGAGCCAGCTCGACTCCAGCTCCCTCACTAACTAGATAGCCGATCGTCTGGAGGATCTGAGTCAAAGTCGGGGATCCGCAATTGACCCCGGCGATGGCGACAGCGGCCAAATAGCGATAGTTCGGGGGGGATGATCGCTGGAGAGAACCACCAGCAGCGGTAACTCCTCAGTGAAAGTCGAGATGTTGCGACGGGAGGCGGCGATGGCGCCATCGCTCGCACGTGATTGGACCCAATCGAGACTGGCAGCACGAGTCCATCATCGGCCTTTGCGTGATCACGTCTTTTTCCTTTCGTTATTCTTCTGGAAGTCTTCTGTTCGGCATTTATATTTATACTCCTTCCCCAGGATTGTCTGGTCGCATTTCTTGAGATTGGCTGGTCCAGATCAAGCTCCTATCGTTTCTTCTTATCGGTCCATCTACACTACTCTGTATTAACAGCCTTAATCGCCCTGCACCACTTGCGACCGTCTCCCGCCTCCCGTCCACCCTTCTCCGTCCTCCGCCCCGGTCATTTGGCAACTTACTCAACCTTACTCAAACAACCCTCTCTCCTCCTCAGGGTCCTCACCATTCCAACTACCTCGCCACCACCTTCCGTCTCTTTATTTCTGCGCCAGAAATCTGTCGCAGAAATAGTATCCTTTGAAGACATACAGCCTGGTGCTATCCACAACTGCGCTTCTAGTTCGCTGGTTACAGTAGCCGAGGCCACGCTAGCGAGCGAGTAGCGGCGCTGCGGTTCCAGTGGCACGACTTCGGACTGCCGTCGCGTGAGAGCATCTACCAGAATTCTTCATTCAGCAAGATGGAAAGCACACGGCCTCAGGAGGACAAAACCATGTCCTCCCCTCCGCCCTTCACATCGATCTTCGGTGGCCCCGCCGAGTCCGCGGAGGAGATCGATGCTGATGCCGACAATAGCCAGCTGAAGCCCCACAATCGCAGCAACGTAACAGCAACTTCGGCCAAGCTCGTGGGCAAAAGTGTCGCCCCTTTCCTCGCAAAGCACGTTCCCGACCAATACGCCCCCCTCGGATCGCAAAATAGAGAACCTGCCGCCTTGAGCAGCGCAAATTCCCGCTATTGCTACCGACATCGCCCAGACCGTAAGTGCCGCCGGCAGGCCGACGAACCGACAATGGACAAATTGCAACGGGTATGTCTTCTACCAATATCATCCGAAGGACCAAGCAGAAAATGTCTGCCATTTATGATCGTGGACTAACGGGTACCCAGGAGTTGGAGTCGCTCCCTCAGAGTGATCAGCAGGGCATTGCGCATGTTTGGTCGCTCTTCTCAGCCGCCCCAGCCAAGCACCGAAAACTCATACTCCAGGGAATTATGGCTCAATGCTGCTTCCCGCAACTCTCGTTCATTTCCACCACCGTCCGTGACCTCATCCGAATCGATTTCATTGCCGCTCTTCCTCCGGAGATCTCTTTCAAAATCCTGTGTTACCTGGACACCACTTCTCTTTGCAAAGCTGCACAAGTCTCGCGACGTTGGAGGGCACTGGCCGACGACGACGTGGTCTGGCATCGCATGTGCGAGCAACATATTCATCGCAAGTGCAAGAAATGTGGCTGGGGACTTCCCCTTTTGGATCGGAAGAGGCTCCGTGAATCGAAGCGCGAGATTGAGATTCGCGCTACGACCTGGGACGTCAACGGCACGTCTCCGAAAGCGACTCCTGCGCTCCCTGAAGATGCTTCGCCTGTCGCCGACAGCTCTGGTACCGGTAAACGAAAGCCTGAGCCAAGCGAGGAAGAGACTGCGGTCGTCAAACGCCACTGTCAGTCACTAGCGATGCGCCCAGAAGGAAGCGAAGATTATTTCAAAACCCGATACAGGCCTTGGAAGGAGGTGTACAAGGATCGTTTCAAAGTGGGCACAAACTGGAAGTACGGACGCTGTTCGATCAGAATCTTCAAAGGCCATACGAATGGCGTGATGTGCTTGCAATTCGAGGACAACATCCTGGCAACCGGATCTTACGACGCGACGATTAAGATTTGGGATACCGACACTGGCCAGGAAATTCGTACTCTTCGGGGACACGAGTCGGGTATCCGCTGCCTGCAGTTTGATGACACGAAGTTGATCAGTGGTAGTATGGATGGCAGCGTGAAAGTCTGGAACTGGCGCACTGGCGATTGCATTTCCACGTATACTGGTCATCGTGGCGGAGTAATCGGGCTGCACTTCGATGCTACTATTCTCGCGTCCGCATCTGTTGATAAGACCGTGAAGATCTGGAATTTCGAGGACAAATCAACTTGCCTCTTACGAGGACACACGGACTGGGTCAACGCGGTCCGGGTCGATACGGCTTCTCGCACGGTGTTCTCGGCGTCCGACGACTGCACCGTTCGGCTTTGGGATTTGGATACCAAGTCTTGCATTCGGACATTCCATGGCCATGTGGGACAGGTTCAACAAGTGGTTCCTCTTCCCCGGGAATTTGAATTTGAAGAGCATGATGTTGAGTGTGAGAACGACAACCTCAGCACTGTCTCCGGCGACACCGAGCCGGCATCTCTTCAGGCCACGCTTGGCCTCGAGTCGAATGCGGTTATTTCTCAGAGTTCACCGTTTGGTCCTTCTTTTGAGTCAGGCCGGACAGCACCACCGCGCTACATTGTTACTAGCGCCTTGGACTCGACCATCCGTTTATGGGAGACTAGCACTGGCCGGTGCTTGCGTACGTTCTTTGGCCATCTGGAGGGTGTCTGGGCCCTGGCAGCGGATACACTGCGTATTGTTTCTGGGGCCGAGGACCGGATGATCAAGATCTGGGATCCGCGAACCGGCAAGTGTGAGCGCACGTTCACCGGCCACTCCGGCCCTGTCACCTGCATCGGACTTGGCGACAGTCGGTTTGCTACTGGTAGTGAGGACTGCGAAGTGCGCATGTACAGCTTTCAGAGCTGATCTGGACATGCTTTATATTGGTGTTGTTTCTTCTGGCCTTTGATGCTGGCTTAATGTTCTTTCTGATGATGAATACCCTTGACTAGCGCAGTTACTTTTTTTGATTGGATGGGTCTGGCTGGCAGAGGGATGGAGCATTTTTTTTAAACACTTATGATGGGGTTTCGGGCGTTGTGATTTCAAAATGTGTACTTTAGCTACAGAACGATTAATCTACCGCATCAGTCTGCATATTGCCTGTTTCGAGCAAGTCTTTTTCGTCAGGTCTCATGATGAAGCGGCAACTCCAGACGCCGCCCCGTAACTACAGGATAGCGTGGGTATCAAATATGCTCTTGATCTTAATTCTCTTATCATTCAGGTGGAATCATGAAGTCATGAACATTTAAGCAGCCAAATCGCCAGCACTTATTACATAGATTGTTACCATCCATCATAATCATCGTCATAACTTTCCTGTCTTGGAGTTCTAGGCAAGCCCCTCTTGGGCGCGAGCGGTGACGGTGACGGGGATCTGGAAAGTTGACGTTCAATTGCTCTGTTAGATATTCCCATGGGCACCAGATTCCTCGAGGAAAGAGTAACAAGTCTAGCCGGGTTCTCTTTGAACACCGGCAGCTCCTTCATTCTCCTGGTGCTTTTCATCGGGTTTGTCAGCAGTATCTTGAACATAGGAATCAGTGACCGGTCCTCAACCATGTATTGCAGCCATTCCATTACGGCGGCGAGATCCGTGAAAGTCTTGTCTTTGTCGAACCAAGAAATGGAGTCGATGATGCAGTACACTGTTGTGTCGGCCGGGAACTGAGACACGAGCGAGTAAAGTGTCTCGCAAAGTGCATTTAAGTCGTGCTCCTCGAGGTCTCTCAGGTAGTCCCGATTGTTGATGAAGTTCAAGTCTAAAATGTTCATTTTGACTAGTTTCATCAAAAGCTGCATGGCGATAGAACGGACCAGACCGTTCGGCCCGTGCCAGGGATCCAGGCGAGCGGTATGTAATCCGCAGAAAAATTGGACAACTACCTCGTTAGGATGGACTTCGATCATGCTAGAGACCAAGGTGGCGCAAAAGACTGATATGGCAGACACCTTTTCCCGGCCGGACGAACTGATGTTGGCGTCGACGAGCATCAGGTCGGGGTGATGGTGGGTCACCGTCGCAGCAATGACTGGACTTGGCCCTGAGCGGCTGCAGTGAACCTACTCTTGTGCACGAGTGCTCGTCTGGAACCCTCGTTTGGGTGCTGGAACATGCGCTCTATATCGACTGGCTTGTCCTCGGTAGGACTAGATTGGGCTAAATATGATTACTCGGGATGGAGCACACATGAGACTGATACTGCCGCTACGCCAGAGGATAATATATTGACGATGGGTATCCTGAGTATATGGCTGCTCACGCTCAAGATTATGATGATGGGTATGAGGAGGAATACTATTAAGCTCGAGGGGGTTCAAGATGGCTTGTCTTACCACTACGATGAAGCACCTCCGACGTGTGACTATATGGGGAGCTTACACAGACCAATCCGATGAGATATATAACGATTCAGTGTATATTACTAGTCTATTTCACTAGAAACCTATGTCGCTAGTGAAGCTAATTCTGCAAACACATTTATGCTCTACATCTCTAGGCTTATCTATAAATAGGCTAGATTCCCTCAAGTCTTATTAGATAACCCTACAATATTACGGTGCAATCCATGAAGCTTCTGTCGCATGATACCTCACACCGCATAAATACTACAAGCCACTACATATTTAGATATCATGCTCGTATCTAGACCTTTCCTTCCATTTTCCATTCGTTCCATCGAGCTGGGTCCTGGCCGACTCGGACAAAGCCCGGTTTTCTAATAATGTATATAGCGGTCTCGTCGATCTCGACCAACTCAGTATGTCTGTTGAATCGCTCAGCTATGTCCTGAAAGTGCTAGTTTAAAATTTCTTCTAGTTCTTCATAGCCTACACGCTGATCTTATTTACTTACCCATACGTGGGCTGTTCCCGTATTTCACTACAATGTATGCCAGTCACCGTGAAATCATGTATAGCATCATCAAGCCGTGGTCTCCCCTCGAATCCGCAGAAGACGTCAAAACCCGACTATCATGACTTTATATTTCCAATAATAGTTAAGTGAGTCACAATGAGCTCTACATTGAATTTGTCGACTATAAAACCCGTCCAGATTCCAGTGGGTTTGCTTCAAAATTTCTTCGACAACCACCTCGTTTACTACTATCCCACGCTCAACTCGACTTTTCTACAACAACAGGCTCACCAAAGCATCTTTATCAATATCTATTCTTGGTCAAATTTCAACTCCAACTTTGTTTTATACATCTCAGCCAGGCATCTCAACCAGGCAACTACTCATCCTTACTCCTACTAACAGACTCCTATCGCCATGCCTTCCTTCTCATCTACCTTCTCCTCTATTTTCAAATCCTCCAAGAAGAAGAAGACTACCAAGAAGACCTCCTCCGCCACTATAGAGATGTCATCTATCCCTACGTCTTCTAAGAAGACTACCACTACAACTGCCCATCATGGCAAGAATATCAACCACGTCAATAATAATATCAACAAGAGCGACAATAAGATCGCCAAGGACAACTATAATAATAGGAACAACAAGACTGCCGACAAGGCTATGAAGAGCCCCGATAATAACTACTACAATAACAATATCACCGCCACCGCTACTGCCACCGCCACCAACAACAACAACAGAAACAATATGAGCGACAACGACTACAATAAAAGTAATAACAACATCATCGCCACCAACGACAGCGAGCCAGTTGATCTTGGTATACCTCGCAGAGGGCAGTATGTCACCCGAGATGGCATCGACGTCGTAGCAGTCCTCGAGACTTGGTATGTTCAGTTGACTCCTCTTGTAAAACAGCTGGCTAACGTGAAACAGGCATCAAATCTATACCGGATGGCAGATAGTCTCCGCTGAGTTGGATAGAATGGAAAAGATGCGTGAACGTCGTTTTATATGTGAGTATATAGATCTCTTACATAGTAGCAAGATAGTAAGCTAATTGAGGTGCAGAAACGGCTCACCCCGACAACGAAAACAGCATAGTCAAAGCGTTGGCTATTGCGTGGAGATGCATGGAACTTATTGAGGGTTCAAGTGGATTGTATTTTGTGTGGAGATGCTCTATAGCGAGTGTAGGAAGGATCTCTGTAGGTTTTCTTCCCCAAGAGGGTTTTCCTACAGACTTTTATACCTCTCCATGGAGTCCATCCGGATGTGGTATAAAAGATAGAATTATGATCCTATTGAAACCTACATGAAGACATACCGCCTATATAGTATAATTTGACCGGTATACGTCTTTATCTACCAGTATTTCGAGTATAAGTTTGTACTAGTTGAGTTGAGTTTGTATATCCTCAATAGCAGCGTCGTCAATTGAGTTGCTTCAAACCAAGTGATTTACTGCTTATAGGTCATGAGTAGGAGAAAAGATCTGCCAATGATACGTCACTCAATCTACTACATCTCTGTTTCACACACATGGATCAGATTATTTAGGCTCATATTTTAATTGTGAAATCGCTCAATTATAGAAGACTTACATACCATACAGCTTTGCCATCACGTGTTTCGTAACTTATAGACAAATATATATAGAATGGCGATTGATCCAAACCTCTTGAATATCACAAACTAGGTCTTAGGGAGTCAAGACAATGCGTCTATTCTCTATCAACAGTTACAATTCCGCAGCGTAAAAGCTCAAAGTCATCTACATCACAATCGCGACACAGTCTGACTCACCAGGAACGGCTTCACCACGACATGACATACTATGGCATCATCACAGAGGGAACTTCTATTCCCCAACAGAATTCTTCTTTCTTTTCCTGTCTTTCCCTTTACCATACTACTCTCTGTCCCATCAAACCCACCACTTCATCCGCATCAACCACGAACACATCTAAACCTCAATATACTAAACAACCACCTCGAACTCATCTTATACACCCACCAAAATGAAGTACACAGACGGCCAAGTCACCTATTCCTCCTCGCAGATCATCGATCTAGAGGCCAACAACCATAAACCCTCAATGGAAAACATCCCCTTGTCAACTTATGCCACTGCACAGGCTCAGCCATGTGACACCGCCTGGCCAGGCAGCCCTGAGGAACAGACAAGTGATCAGGAGCAAACAAAGGCGCTGGAACCGAGACCTACCCTAGCCCCTAGTGAGTACTACACCTGCTTTAGTGCTTGTTCTTCTCTAATGTCTCTAGGACGCCGCTCGTGCTGTGGAGCTTTGTTTAGGTTTCTCCTGTACTTCATCGGTTTTGGGACCTTGTTCCTTTTGGGTTTGGCGGGGGTTTATTTTTCTATGTAGGTATTTACCTATGTTTGGCTGACTGGTGAGATAGGTTCCATGGCTAATGGTGTTATAGTTGGTATATCGTTGATAAGGCTAGTGCTATGAGATAGGGAGGCGGTGCTTAGGGTATGTCTTGTTGAAAGAAGGAGATTGTGATCATTTGTTGAGGGGAGATGGAGTACTTGCTGACTTGTGTGTATGTCTTGGTTTTGGTTCAGCGAGATTGTCAGTTTGAAATTAGCGTTGGATTTGAGCGATTGGTCCTTGGGAGTCTTTGCTATATGTTGGTCAGATGTCACTGCAATATTTATTGCGAGCTGTTAGGAGTATCTGCGAGGAGGATATGACTTGAATGATACCCCGGTTACATGTCAAGAACCCCTTAAGACTGAAGATGTAGATCACGTCTGTCATACTGCAACTTTATAGCGGTGCGAAGTGACACTCAATCAGTGAGGTATAACCACCACAGTAAGCAGCATGCTTTCAATAGTAGGGTTCAGTACAGCCTCACTTGATATTCGCATCTCAGAATCCACACCCACAACCTATGCTACTCACCTCCAAGCCTAGTCTGTTCACCTCACTCCATCTCAGCACTACCACCATACCCAACTGCTCTTCCTCCTCTCCCTCTACTTACTCCTTCTGCACCACCAATAACTAACCTAACTCTTCCTCCCCCTCCTACTACTACCACTCAACCAAATGTCCACCCAACCACCTCCCCCAACCCTCCACCACCTCCTCTCCCGCCTCGCCCAAGCGAAGCGCCTCTTTTTCAAACCCAAATCCAAACGCCGACGCACCCAACAACAAACAACTACCAAAAAGAAACCCACCACCACCCGCGAATACTCTCTCCGCAAACGCCCTCCACCCACCTCCACTCCAACTACAATTCTCACCTCCTGGCGCGACGAAGACGACAGCACCGACGACGACGACTACGATCCTCGAATCGAGCGAGCATACCTGAGACGCAAGAAGCCGTTGAAGCGGGCCAAAAACGAAAACTTGAGTCTCATCGTGAAGATCAAGTTAAACATGGATAGCGAATCCGGAAAGGCATTTCTGGCTAGTTTGGGGATGTATCAGGATGATGATGTCCCGATGATCAGGGATGAGGGACTTCAAGTCATGAAGAGTAAGAATATGGTTGGGGAAATGGATGATGCTGAACAACGGAAGACAATATCGTCGTCGTGCAAGGCGTGCGTTGAGGGAGGGAGGGTATGTTCAATAGGAGATACTTCTATGGAAGGTCAAGAGCAAGATAAAGAACAGGAAACAGACACAGGGATGAAATACCCATGTGAACAATGCATCAGGGATACTATTGTCTGCGAACCCATGTCTATACCTGTCACATCCCTAACCCCAGCCTCTAACCCATGCATTACACCCCCCATCTCCATCCCCATGCCCTCCACAACCCCAGAAGACAATTACCCAATAATCCAACCAACCACAATCACCACCTCCCTCACCCACCCCATAACCCTCACTCCAACCCCCCAAACCTGCTCCTTCTGCCCATCCCTCCCCTACAGCCTCTTCGGGCACTACCAACCCCCGCGGACAATCTCCGTGCTACCATTCCTGCCCCCAGGAAATAAAGCAGGAGATTACATGGAACTCCACCCCCAAATACCCAATTCTACCAATCATCATCATAATCATTATCATCCGCAAACACGCATATGCGTGACATGTGCGTTGGAGAGGCTACGCATAATGCTTTGCGGACAGCAGTTACCATCAGCACCGTCTACATCAGGATCTGAATCAGCAAATCATAAGATCCTTCCGCTGAAGGGCTACGATCCTGATACTTTTGATTTTGAGATGGCGTATACTAATCTTGCTGCTACGTCGATATCCACTTCGTCTAGTCCATGGTGTTCCCTCTGCCCGCACCCCGCGTTCTACGGATGTGGGAGACTTCAGAGCAGGGATGTGTTTCTCGAGGAAGTGACGGAGCCTCAGGCGATGGGTGTCGGATGCGGGTTACTGCTCTGTGAGCGGTGTGAGGTGTTGCTGCGAATATACAAGGGGAAGGTAGAGGATGTGGTGAGGAGGAATGAGGAGGATGCGATTAAGAATAATGGTGGAGGGGATGGGACTGGTGGGAGTAGAGCGGATGTGGGGTTTCTGTTGAAGGGGGGTTGGCTTTGGAGGGTGTTCATGGGAGAAGTGGATTCCCTTCCTTCTAATATTCTTTTATAGTTACTTGAGGGCTGCATTACATCGAGAATGGGGTTCGAATTAATCTTGATTAAGCCAATATCCGTAGATTAAGAGTCTCAGTTCGCCACGCCTCGCTAATACATAGAAAATCCCAACGCCATCAGCTGCAGATACAGTCTTACTGCAGTCCCATCATTGAACTTCAGATAGCTTCACCGAGTCAAGATACTTGCATCGACTCCCGTCCCTCCAGCTGCTTACGTCGGGGGATTTGCACCCCGTTTCGCAGCTGCTCCAATTTGATCACCCCCGGTCCTGTGCAGATCCTTCCTGTCTGCATCAGATTGCGCAGACGTTTGCGCCGCGCCTCGCCACTGCGCTCCTCACCACGCCCGACCCCTTCATCTACCCACTCGACTCGCTGCACCTCGAAGCTCATGCCGTCATGTGAGCCCTCCCAGGCTCTCGACTTCAATCCAAACAACACGCTGGAGTCGTACCGCTCCAGCCGGGGTAGAATCAGCAGCGTAATATGCAGGTCCTTGTCGTTTGGTGGCACGGGCGGCACCCGGGGTCGCTCGCCATCTTCCGCTCCAACATCTTGCGCCGTCTTAGGTGCGTGCTGATACGAATCCCTAATTTCCAGGTCCAGTAGGTCCACATCCACGTCCTCACCCCAAGCACCGCGGATGAAGCCAGAGTGGATTGCCGCCGCAACAGGGTCGGAGTCGTCCGTATACACACCCGTGCCCCAGAGGGCGCGACGCGCGCAGATTTCCTCGCGATGGCTGGTGTCGATGCGGAAACGCGGCACACGAATCGTAAATGTGCAGTTCTCCTTGCCTTCAAAGCGAGGCAATGGAAGCGGTGTAGTCGTGTAACCGAACTTGGCACTTTCCAAGGTTGCCTTCTCGGTAGGTGCGCCGATCCGAGGCGCATACAGAGTTGAGCCCAGGTGGTGTCGAGGGAGATGAGCAACGCTCGACAGGAGTGGCTCGATGGTAACGACCGTGCGCGGCTCGCGCATGGGTGTGACAGCCGTATTTCCGGCCGGTCGGGGAGCATGGTGGTGATGATGATGGTGATGGTGGTGGTGATGTCCAAGAGCCTGGGCCGCGGCGGATGCGCTGCCTTCCCCGGGGGTAGCCGTTCGGTGGAAGAAATTTACCGAGGACAGGGGACGGCTAGAGCCAAGAGCGGCGGCAGCAGCAGCAGCGGCAGCTTCTTCTTCTGGCTTATGGCGATGATGATGATGGCTGTGCACGTTAGCATGGGGGACTACAATACCTAGAAGAATAAGGAATAACGTACTGATGATGGTGGTGATGGAGATGCCGGCTCCGTCGACCGCGGGCACCCAAGGCGGCCGCCTCGCTCTCGGCGCGACCGTCCTCGTCGCGCGACTTTCTCGATCGCTTCCCGTTCGCTGAGCTAGGCCGAGCAATCTTGGGATCGTCTGTCTCTCCGTTGCTGGACCGACCAGCCGCACTGTCGCGCTTGAACGGGCTCGGGGCCATGGGAGTCGAAGGGCCACTACCGCCAGTGGTAGCAGTAACCCCTCCAACACCACTTCCAATCCCGGAGAACACTCGGCCAAGTTCATTCTTGATCCCCGCCTCGCCCGCAGGACCGAGGATCTGGGCCTGGGCACCCTGCACCGCTTGGGGAAGCGGCGATGCGCGTCCCCCTCGCTTCGCATCTAATCCCACCCCAAGAAGGTTACGATGCGCCATGAGTTCATCACTTCCTTTGCGTCGCTGGTCATCCGACGACGCGGAGTGAACGACCGAGGGTGGGCCGGCGGACGAGGTGGGCGGAAAGGCGCGGGTCTCGGTCTGCAGCTTGCTGAGGTACGGCGGCTGATCGTGTGACGGAGGGGGCGGCTGATTGGGAGGGGGGTGGACGGAAAGCGAGGGCTGTCGCGACCCTCCGAGCTGAGAGCCCAAAGACTTGGTGTAGCTCTGGATAGCGCCAAAGCCAAACCCGGAGCCCGCCTCCGGGACGGAAAACCGTTTCGTCTCGGGCGACGGGGGCTGGGAGCGGCCAAGATCCCAGGCAGACGCGCCTTGTTGGCGATGGGCTGCAGCCTCCCGGTCCCCGTAAGGCGGCCCGTACCGCGATGGAGGGTGAGACGCGGCCTTTGTTTCAGCCTCGTGCGCCATCGCACGTTCTCGTTCACGATGGGCCTGTTCCTCCGCGTGTCGATCCGCATACAGGCCTCCGTACCGGTGGTGCTGGGCCTCATGGCCCATATATGATGCTGCTCGCTGATGCGCACCGGCAAACGGTCCTTCTCCGGGACCGGCCACGGCAGCAGGCCGTGACAACGGACTATATCCAGTGGTGCGGGACGGTGGTTCAAGGTGCTGCGGCTGGCTGCTGGGACGAGGTGCGGGTCCGCTGAAACTTAAGCGGCGTGGTTCGTTATACGGGGCTTCGGCGGACGAGATTTGCGGAGAGGGATGAGTGGAGCTGGGCTTGTCGGGATACTGCGACGATGACGGGCCACGAGACAAGCCACCGAATTTGGCCTGCTCTGTTATCGGTTGGGGAACACCGCCGGAGCCGGATCGATACGGACGTGACGGCTGGTTCTTCGCAAAGGTCTTTTCGGGGGTCTGGGAGCGTCGGAAACCGGGGTATTCGAGCGGAGACGGACGCGCTGGCGCGGTCGGCGGGGACATGGCACCGGGAGCCGACGGTGGGTGGGCGTTCCCATACGGGGCGGACGAGACTGGAAGACGCGAAAAGATGGACGAAGAGCCTACATCCCGGCCTGGTCGGTCAGCGTCCGAGCCTAGCATGGACGATATCGACATGCTGCTCCCTGGACGGTGATGAGCCGGGTTGCTGGGAGGCTCACGCGACAAGAAGGGAGTGGACAGGGACGGAGCATTTCCCGTTTGGCCTCTGGAGGGATAGTGTTGGGGTGGTGAAGGAGGGGGCATACGTCGCGGCCCTAATGGCGGCGCAGCGGACTGCTCTTGGACACCTATGATAAGGGAGAAGTCGGAGTTAGCCAATATGTCCGATCCGCATAAACAACAGGAAACACTGCAAGAAAGAGCAAGCGTGGTGGCAGCAAGAAGGGTAACAAGGACACTGGTGGAGATCGTTGCGCGAGTCCAACGGCCTGCGACTCACCAGGGAACGCGGGACTGCCACTGCTGCCCAAGGACCTCCGGCGACCCTGGTCATGCGACGGGGGAGGATTCATGTCGCATGCAAAAGGGGACGAGGGAGCTATAAGGGAACGCGACAATCAGGAAAGGGGCAGATAAGAGTTGAATCGAGAGGATAGTAGGAATAGTAAAGGTAAGCAAGCGGCAGGGAAAAGAAAGGGCCCGAGGGGGCGAAAAAAGAGGGAAGGGGGATGGGAGTGAAGGAGGGAGGAAATGACGATGGCAGCAGCTGATGGGCGGCGAAGGAAGAAAGAATGGCGCGCGACAAGCAAAGCGAGTTCCGAACTGGGGCAGAACCCGTGACTCTGGGCCTGGACGAGCTCATGTCCGACGCTAGTCCCACTTAGGAAGCGATGCCCTGGCATCCCAGACTAGCCCGAATCAGGCATAGCGTTCCCGAGGCTTCCTGGGCTGGAAGTCGATCAGGCGCCACAGACGCGCCGCCTGCACCGCCCCTGATTGGCTCGCACTGCCGGGCACAAAGTTTGGGTTCCTTGTCGGAATCTGGCAGTGACGCTGGGATTGTAGTACGGATAAACAAATGCTGCAGCCGCGCCACACTGCACCATCGCAGATGGCTAGACTCCGACCAGAGGAAAATTTTTCTTCTTCTTCTTTGCATCTTCCCAGCCCGGACAGCCCCTTCTCCTTCTCGCATCTTACTTGCTTCTAGTCATGCTCCCACAAGACCGGTCATCGCGACGCGACTATGGCCTGAAACTCCCGCATACCGGGTTCGTAGTCACATCGCAGCATGAAGTAAAAGAAATTAAGAAAACAACAGACAAAGAGAAATGAGAGAACTCGCGCAGAGAAACAAGGTTATTTGGTGGTCATCGGGCAATTTAATATAAATTGAAGCGATATCATATCCAAAGAAAATGCAAGTTGCCTACCTTCACGATATACCATCCGACGCTCGGGCTTGTTGATGTGACTGACCGAGTAATGAGGGTCTGGACGATGTTCAGACTCTCGATTGCCCCCGGGAAGATTCTGCTCCTTTAGCGAGACGTGGCTCGCTGATGATGTGTGATACCCATTGCTTTCTGTCCGATATGCCGCATAGGCGTTCTCATGGGCGTATGAGACGGGGGCCACGGAGGTAGGGACCGAGGAGGGCGGGTAACTGTAGGTTGGGGTGATACCAGATCGAGGCATCTCGGGTTCGCGGCGATGAAAAGGGTCATAAAACATGCGTGGGGAGGAAGGGTGTGATGGTGGTGGAGGCCCGTAGGCGCGAACTGGCGGCGCGGGGGGCGCAGCACGAGGGTCGTGGGCGACGACGCCCAACATCGATGGGTGCGTATGGTATGGATGATGAGGATGGTGTTTCTGAAAATCCATCATCATCTTCAGGGGAGGGGTGGGTTGGGACGAATGGGGGTTGCTGGCAGCATGAACGTTTGATTGATTGACTGACTTGGGGGAGGGAGAGAATTGGGTTGGGTTCGGGCGCGGATAGTTGTCAGTCAGTAAGGTAAGGTCGCGAAATGGCGGTAAAAGTTGAGTTTAATCGACCCCGAACGGGAGG